GATTCAATAAATTGTTTTGTAAAGTTACTCTCCGTTCTCATTCCTTTGCGTTAACTCAACGAACTCGCGCTGTCGCGGCATTTGAAATATAGTGCCGTCACAGTTGTCAGTTATGAATATTAAAATTGAATTACCTTGGATTTTTTAAAAATTCGCTGAAACACTCACACAGAAGATAACTCAGTGTGAAAAAAAAGACGCTGTGAGTGTTTCAGCGAATTTTACAAAAATTCAAGATAAACATTTTAACATCCATTACAATTAAGTCGTGGTTCTAGTGACAGTTTGCATTCCTTGAATTATTTTGCTTTGGCGCTACAACAGACCATTTTCGAGTTCCAAATTACCGCTGTGTTTCTTGATTACAGACATTTGCTCAGGCTAAGCCTCGAATCAGTGTCTGATTACTCGCAAATATCAACGGTAAAGTATTGCACAAGTTCAACGAAACGAACACTTTGAAACTTGACGGACCCTGACTGGAAAACGTGAATATTCTTCACAAAATCGAGGCTTAGCCTGAGTAAATGAGTCTGTAATCAAGAAACACAGCGGTAATTTGGAACTCGAAAAGGGTCTACTGAGTTGATATATCCTGTTACTGCTCTATTCTGATTGCATATTAAAAGGGGGCGGTTCGTTACGCTACGATAGGCAGGTCAGAAGGCGGCTACTCAAAATCCTAGGGTTTCCGGACATGCGGTCTTTCCTCATTGTTGGAAAATATGAAAGCTCAGCTAGCTTGGTCAAATTGTATACTAATTAAGATCTGAAAACATCCAAACCTTACTGTATCAATAATGCACAGAAGAGGATTTAAATAATGCGACGGGAACAACACCCCTACTCCCATTTGTATTCAGAATACCCCCAGAACGAAGGAAAAAGCTTATTCTAACCAAATCAGTTTATCATTAAAGTCTTGCCCCCACTCCTCCTCTGGTTCACTAATGCATAGTCAGTGAGGTTCGTCCAGATAGGCCTTTTACAACAACAGGTCACGTGACCCTACCCAACTAAAAAGAGGAGTTGCCTCAAAATGTATACCAGAGAGCTCCTCGATATTAGTAAGAAGGCGAAGTTTCAGCTCATGTTGACTACAGGAGAAATGCTGTTAARTATACAATCAAATGTTTACATGTTATATGCGTTAAATGTTATAAGCTGAAACTTTGCTCCCTTACAGATATGGAGATTCTCTTTTCATTTTTTGCTGTTGATTTTGACACAATGTCTTTTTTACGGGGGTATAGTCGCGTGACCTGTTCTTAAAAAAAGTCCTCTTCAGCTTCACTTCCCTCCCCTCTCAGGTTCCTGGATCCGCCCATAGTGCAATGCTCATTACTTTTTATCTTCCAATACTACTCACCCAATTTCCCCAAAATGAGATGTAGGTTCAGGCCAACTAGAGGTGGATGGAATGGCAGAACTCACAGTTTCTCCGAGGCTACCATATATCTTGACCAGAATAGAAGCATCTGCACTTTTATTGTGAATTTCATTTGTGAAAATCCGCACTTCGAAGACGTCACTTTCTGCTGGGATAAATTTCGTTCATTATTCTAGTTTGTAATGTTTGTAGTTGGAGTCGCAGTTGCAGCTGTAGTTTTTTTGTTGTAGTTGTTGTTGTAGTAGCAGCAGCAACAGCAGCAGCAGCAACAGCAGCAGCAGCAGCAGTAGTAGTAGTAGTAGCAGTAGTAGTAGCAGTAGCAGTAGCAGTGGCATTAGCAGTAGAAGCAGCAGCAAAAGTGGCAGTAGTTCCTGGTGTTATTTTACTGACCTTCCCCAAGGTTATGCTTAGCAGCTATCAGTACCTAAACAATAACAACAAAAATGTAAATATTTTGCGTTCTMATTTGTTGTCAGCATTACAAGAAATTATCGCTAGGCTTTAATTTCGCGATTTTTAAATAAATAAATTGACCAACCATAATGTATATTTGAATTAATAATTGGACATGAAAAAGCACGAACCAGTTCTCGTTGTTGTTACTGTTCCTTAATAAGGCCGTAAACTGTGTTTAGTACCAGAACTGAACATGCGAAATAAAAATCGCGAAATAAACGTGTCGCGAACATTTCATGTAATAAGGTACATTATGATAAGGCTGTTCAGCGGTACAAAGATCTGGAACAGCCTTCCGCTGGACCTGGGGGGAGGGGGGGGGGGGTAAACGACTTAACAAGATTCAAGTCTGGCCTTAAAAAGCATTTTAGATCTCGCTAAAAATTAACCTTGTATTTTTTGTATTCTGTACTATATTTTCTGTATGTAAGTTTATTTTAAACAGAGCCCCATTCAAAGCAGTATTGCTGAACTGGGTACCTCTATATGAATATTGTTGATAAATAAATAAGAGGCTCAGGTTAAAAGTTGAACTTCACATGAGCCGAACTTAATTGAAACAATGGATAACAAGGCGGTCAAATAGGTTCGACTGATGTGAAGCTCAACGTTTCACATGAGCCTGACAGAGATTTGTACGTCCACACTCTTTCCATAGTTAAAATATATAATTATTTATGCCTTGATCCAGACTTATTATTTGAATGTTTGCCCGTTCTAATCGGTGCTGAATAACTGAAGGATTTAGAGAAGAGAGAATATCTGRATACTGTTTTACATATCTTTGACTAGTACTGAATCTTCGATCTATATGACGTCATTCTATTGTTTACATTTTGCCACATTAGCATAAATCGAGTAACCAACTAAAACATGCATAAATAGAATRAAATGATTACGTTTTAACACTGCTAAAAAATCTTCGGTATAATATTTGTTTTTTGTCTGTTTGTTTGTCTTACAATTATTTTTTTAATGCTAAAAAATTAACAGGAAATGTATGAACCTGCGATAATWCATTTAATATGATAACAATAATATAATATAATATTTTTTTCCGGTCCGGTATTCTAACAAAATGTGCGTTCTGATTGGCTGTTTGAGCGGGCGGTAGTTTGTCAGCATCTGCCCGCGCTCGCTGTCCGTATCCTTTGTTGCTAAACAACAAAACAAAACGATTACAAAAACAAAAAAATACGGGAAAAAAATAAATAAGTTATTTACCGTCCTATAGTCGGTCCGGATAGGAAACAAATGTGCCCTCGGTCTTGAAAACGGACCTCGGCCTAACAGCCTCGGTCTGTATATTCAAGACCTTGGGCACAGTTTTTCCCTATCCGGACCATCTGGCCGGTAAATAACATATATATTCTCTCTTGTTTATAATCTTTGATTTTAGCTTTGAGTTCAATTCATGTTAATGTCCAAAACGATGTAAACAATACAAGTTCTTCCCAATGAGTTCAAAAATATAAACGATTAAATACCATTTTCGAGTAAATACCCTAGCAAGCCATAGCGGTACCATTGTGGGATGAAAGATGAAACGGAACTAAACAGTTGCACATGCAGCTCACTTGGACTATTTTTCAATGAAAAATCTAAACATGATGAACTGACTGTTTTACTTACCAAGAACATTATCTTCATTAGGCGATCCATGGCTTGAACGGCTTTTCTCTTGCTCTCTCGTGCCTGTACCCGGATAACTGTATGCAATTCAGGTTT